AAAGGGGTGCCTTTTAAAGCCCAGTCAGACCAACTTAGGGTACACTCACCAATAGGGGGAGAGGTTATTTTTCTGTATTTCCCAGAGCTGCCCTGAAGGTGTGCTTACACTGTTCCTGACCTTGCACTCAGTAGGCAAGGTAATAAGGATAGGGGTTGTCTTTGTTCACTCTATACCACTGGTGCTTGGCACACTAGGAGCTCAGTAAATACTTCTTGGCTTATTCATTAGGGCTCTGACACCTGCGCTCATGCTTCCCTTTGATTTTTCAGCGTCCACTCTGGCACTTGCTATCTCAACTAACGTGTAAGACCTCTCTTGCCTGGCACTGCCCCGCCCATAAGCTGAAAGAGAGCACCGGAAAGGCTAGTACATGCACAGACCACCAGGCCAGGAAAGACTGCAAGGGCTTGGATCTGGTGAAGGTTGGACGGCATCCCAGAGGTGGGGGGCCCGAGTTGGTTCTGAAAGGAACCCAGCAGAGGTCACCAGCAAGAGCAAAGGTGCGCAGTTGTGAAACTGTCAGGCAATTGGCAATTTGCAGTGACGGTTTTCCGGCAACTCTGGAAGGTCCCCCACCCTTCTCCGATTGGCTGCCCTTCCTGGCACCTCCTCAAAGCCTCCTCACCCGTTCGTCTCTCCCGGAGCCTGCCAACCAGGGTCCCTTGCTCTTTTCTGCACCCCAAGTCCTCCAGGTTTCTGTGTTGCAAGTCTCCTCGGCTCACCGACCTGCGCGCCGCCACAAACGCGTTTCCTGGACCCTCGAGCGCACACCCCGCCTCCAGCGTGCCCACTCCTTTCTCCTACGCGCCCAGCTCCCTGGCCCCCGCCCCCTCGAGCGCGCCGCTTCCCTCTGCCGCGCTCCCTTCTTGCATTCCCCCTCCTCTCTGCCTGCTGTCCCCTCGTGGGCGCTCTCTCTCCTGCACACCCACTTTTCTCTGCCGCAGGCCTCTCCTCTCTGCTGCGCGCCTCCCTCCTGAACACCCCTCCTCTCTGGCTCCATCCCCTCGCGCGCGCCCCTGCTTCACGACCCCTTCTCTCTGCCGCGCGCCCCACTCCTGCATACCTCTTCACTCTGCCGCGCCCCCGCGCACGCCTCGTCCACTCTGCCGCGCGCCCCGACTCCTGCTCGCCCCCTCCTCTCTGCAGCGCGACCCCGCAAGCCCCCTTCCCTCTGCAGTGCGTTCCCCCTTCTCCGCCCACGCGCGCCCTCCGCTCACCGGTCCGCGCGCCCCTCTCGCTTTGCGGCGCCTACAAGGGTTCCTGCCGCGCGCGCTCTCGTTGCCTGGCAACGGGACGCAGCTCCGGGGTGGCGAGCAGGCGCGTGCGTCCGGTGCGCAAAAGCACCAACCATTTTTGGGACTTGTTCCTCTGGCTTCGCTGGGTCAGGCGGGCAGAGGCGGTTCTGACCGTTGGGACTTGGGCGTCGAGCAGGACTCACCTGAGGCGGAGAGAGGCAGCTTCGCGCCTGGAGCTCCCGAAAGCGGCAGGCTCTCCTCCTACTGCTCCTGAGCAGGAAGGGCTGCGGCTCCTGCGGACTGCGGGAGACCCTTCCACGATCCCGGGTGGGAAAACCACACAGAGCTCCCCGGGAGGTTCCCAGATACAGTACTGTACTGCATGCCTAGGTAACTGAATTTCAGAGAAACGAACTACTTTTCAGTCCAAATATAGTATCATGCAAAGTTATTCGTTGTTTATCTGAAATTCAGAGTTTCCTGGGCGAGCTGGGTTTTGAGTTGAGAAGTCTAGCATCCCTGCCCAGGTGCCCCTGCCCAGTCGGCTGGCTGGCTCTCTCCCAGGTGTGGGTAAGGTACCTCCTTACATCTCTGCGGCGCTTTCTTCAGGCTGGAGGCAGCTGTTTCTTTGGGAAAGAACTTTCTTATGTTGAGCCAAGATGCCTATTAGTGTGTATGAAAAATAACACTGCTTACAACAGGAGAGATGGGTATTATCCTCGTTTCACAGACAGGAACCATGCTAACGGAGTTGACAGGCCTTGTCAGGGTCCCACTGATATGCCCAGAAATCCGAGACAGAGCCTTCCCTGACTTGGCCTGACTGTTAGGCCAGAAGTTTTCTCTTTAGGGATAATGTTACCGTTCCCACTTCCCCACATTTTATTTTTCTGGAGCAGCAACAGGAGTCTGTTCCCATTTTTATATTACTTCACTTCAAATGACTTTGAGATGTCTATATAGCATTTTGGTCTTTCAAGTCCATCCTACTGAGGAAATACTGTGCAGATACTGTGTTCCAAAGTCAGCTGTAATAATTCTTTTCTCTGTGTGGCTAGGACGCCAATATCAACCTGGTTTGTAATTAGGTTCATTTGTGCCAATTTTCAGTTTTTTGAGTTTTTATGACTATGTTTATGTCTACACACGTACACATTCCTTTCCCCACTGCTGTTGCTAATACAAAAGATGACAGACCAGATACAATTTCTGTACCTCATTTTCTTTATTCTATGTCTTAGAGATCACTCCGTAGTTTCTTCTTTCTCTTGTACATCTGCATAATAACCCATTGTGTTGCTCTTTCTCATTAGTCCCCAATTTGATGAACATTTAGGCGGTGCTTCAGTCTGACTGCTGTAAACAACGCTGCAAATAATCCATATACCATTTCATATTTTTTCTTTGAGATAGGATCCAAGAAGCAAGACTGATGAGTCAAAGGGTGAATGCATATGCGATTTTCTAGATTTTGCCAAATTCTCCTCCATAGGAGTTACGCCGTTTTGCTCTCACCTCACTGTCATATGGCATATGCACATGGTTATGTATACAATTTCAGAGACACTGACATCTTGGGGTCTATCCATGAATAAAGATTGGGGGTTATGAATGAGCCCAGGATGTCAGTGCCTCTGAAATTTTATGCAAAATGTTAGGTGCATTTGTCTAGGGAAAAGTTTAGACACAGTGGCATTTTATCCCCTGTAATTTGTTCATTCCTATATCAGGACCTTTCCTCATACCTAGAAGACTCTTCCTTCTCTTCTTTGCCATGTTAATTTTACTGGGTTTTTTTTTTTTTTTCTGGTAATTATAAGCTTAGCTCAAATGTCACCCCTCAGAGAAGCTTTTTTTGACTTCCCTGACTTGGTCAAACTCTTCGTCCTGTCTGGTCTTTATATTACTTATTTTAACTTCAATTTCATATTTATTGATTTAAATATGTGGCTAATATTTTTCTTCCCTACTCATCTATTGGCTCTATGAAGGCAGAGACTGTTTTTGTTTTAGTTTGGGGCTGCTGTAGCAAATTACCAAGACCGGGTGGCTTTAAAACAATACGTATTTATTTCTCACCATTCTGGAGGCTGGAAAGTTCAAAATCAAGGCATTGGCATTTCTGGTATATGGTGAGAACCCTCTGCCTGGTTTGTCTTCTAGTTTTATTCTCAGATGACAGACAGCAGAGAGTTAAAGCAAGCTCTCTTTTTATAAGCGCAGTAATCCCATGCATGAGGGCTTCACACTCATGATCTAATCACTTCCCAAAGGCTCTGCCTCCTAACACCATCATATTGGGAGTTATAATTTCAACACAGGGATTTTTGGGGGACCCAGACATTCAATCCACAGTAGTTTTGTATTCCCAGGACCTATTATGGTGCCTGATAGGTATTCTTTTTTTTTTTTCTGAGATGAAGTTTCCCTCTTGTTGCCTAGGCTGGAGTACAATGGCACAATCTCAGCTCACTGCAAACTCCACCTCCCGGATTCAAGTGATTCTCCTGCTTCAGCCTGCCAAGTAGCTGGGATTGCAGGCATGTGCCACCATGCCCGGCTAATTTTGTATTTTTAGTAAAGACAGCATTTCACCATTATGGCCAGGCTGGTCTCAAACTCCTGACCTCAGGTTACCCACCCGTCTTGGCCTTCCAAAGTGCTAGGATTACAGGTATGAGCCATTGTGCCCAACCAATATTCATTACATATTTGTTCAACAAATGATTACATTTCATCAGATCCTCAGAAAAGTCTGGATTTCTTAAAATATTAAGAGTAATCTGAGGGTAATCATTTTTTCCAAAGCACTGAAAGAGACTGGTTGCAGCATTCTTCCTTTTCTGTTTTAAAAACAGTCCAGTCTATGATTATTCCTGCTTATTTTCATAACTGGAAAGAGTAGGACATAATTGGGAGAGTGGAGCAAGTCATTCCCTTGTTACCATGGAGAGACAGCTGTGTCAGCCCTGTGATTAAAACACTCTTCAAGCAGCTAGAGGAGTTTGTCTTCTCGTGGTAGGACAGAAACACACACACGGACATACTGTAAATCTCAGGTAGTGTGGCAAATGCTGTGTAAGCCGCTTGGAGCAAGAGGAACTTCTTTGGGTTGCCTGGGAAGCTTAGGGAATGAGAAATGATTCTCTACCTTGCAGGGGAGGAGAACTTTTCTGAGAGAGAAAGAGTGACAGAGAGAGAGAGAGGAGAAAAGAGAGAGAGAGAGTGGAGAGAGAGAGAGAGGGAGGAGAAAGAGAGGAGAGAGAGCGAGGGATCATCATGTACAAGAGTCATGGAGATGAAAATGTGCAAGGTGTGATCGTCAGAATGGCAGGATGTCCAAGGAGTTAGAGAGAGGCCAGGGTGTGCTGGGGCCAGGAGAGATGATGTCTGGAGTTGAACCTCAAAAGAAAATTGGGGCCAAATTGTGAGGCGCTTCATACGTTATTATTTGGCGGCTGAGTTTTTCTTCTTTGGCCTTGGAAAATTTATGGATTTTTTTTCAAAAGTGGACTATTGTGGTGCTTTGTAAAAATGGCTCTCATGGCTTAGAAGGAACATTTTAGTATAGTGTTTAGGGTTAGGGTTTTGGAATCAAGAGGAGGGTACAAACCCTATCTCCATCTGCCAGCTGTGTGATCCTGAACTGTGCTCTGATGCTCTTTGTGCATGGGCTTGCTCATCTTCCCATTGAGATCATGATATCCACTTTTCAGTGAAATCAATAGTAATAATATCTCTTTTCTGACTCTTGGACTTGAGAGTCCTTCAGGATTTTGAAACCATTTTAGTTGTAGTGACTTCTGTGGAGCCCTTTTGGAAACTATTAGAAGTTTCCTGGGACCAGCTTGCTTTTGGCACCGCCAATGGGAGGTGTCCATGACTGAGGGCAGGGTGTCATGCTTTGTTCGCCTCACTGAACTTTAGTCATATAGTGACTTTATTGAAGATACTGCAGTAATGCAAAAACACTTACTTTTTAGGAGTTTTTATTTAGGTGTTAGAAATGGAGTCAATATATCTTCAAAAGCACCTTGGGAGGTGTTTAACTCAAGGTCTTGCAGAAGTGGCAAAAGTTCGCCCAGTGGATCCAATAGAATATTTGGCATTGTGGATTTACAAGTTTAAGGAAAATGTGACCATGGAACAGCTGGTAAGTAGGAACCTCCCTCTAGGAAATTAGAAGCAAAAAATAACTGGTCCAACTTGTCTGCTTTTTAAAAAGTTTAATATTTTTATTTTTCTGTTATAAAAATAATGTTTATTATATGAAAACCTGAACAACATGAAAAGTAGGAAGGCGACAACAGTACCCAAAGAAGACTTCTATTTAGATTTTTAAGTAATTACTTTCATGGGAAGTCTTTTTTCTATAGATTTATAGATTTATGTTTATGTACTTGTGATAATACACAATGTGTAACTTTAATATTGTGCTCATTATTCAGATAAAATATCTTCCCAAATTATTATTTAGTTTTGAAAGGGATGGGCTATAATTTGCTTAACCCTTTCCCTAATTGTCCCTATTAAGTGCTTTCAAGATTGCTTTTCTCTCTAAAAAGTCACTTGCTGTTGTTTTTAAACAATGCTAGAGACAAAAGGAAATGGCTGAGCTGGAGCGTGAAAGAGAATTAGCTCTGATGGAGCAGGAAATGATGGAGAGGCTCAAAGCAGAGGAGCTCTTATTTCAGCAGGTGAGGCAAGTAGGAGAGTTCAGAGGGGACTGGAATTACGATGCCAACCTCAGCATGCCACAACCCAAATGCTGATGAACTTCCCAGCTCCAGTTACTTAAATATGGCTTCCTAATATCTTCATCTTTGTGGATGCGTGTGTCTTCTTTGCTGGAGGAGCAGCAGCCCTGAGTTTTCCTGACTGCATTCATGTATACACACACATACATTCCTTTCCACACTGCTGTTGCTGATACAAAAGATGGCATACCTCCAGGTAAGAGAAGAATACAGAGAATGCGCTGTCACAGAAGGCAAAGAGAAAGAGTGTTTTTTTTTTTTTTTTTTTTTTTTTGAGACGGAGTTTCGCTCTTGTTACCCAGGCTGGAGTGCAATGGCGCGATCTCGGCTCACCGCAACCTCCGCCTCCTGGGTTCAGGCAATTCTCCTGCCCCAGCCTCCTGAGTAGCTGGGATTACAGGCACGCGCCACCATGCCCAGCCAATTTTTTGTAGTTTTTAGTAGAGACGGGGTTTCACCATGCTGACCAGGATGGTCTCGATCTCTTGACCTCGTGATCCACCCGCCTCGGCCTCCCAAAGTGCTAGGATTACAGGCGTGAGCCACCGCGCCCGGCCGAGTGTTTTTGTGACATCTGAGTGGTCAACCATATCTATTGTTGAATGGGAAAGCGTTCATTACAGGCCACTGTAATTTGGCAGCAACAGTGTGGATGGAGTGGTTGGGGGTGGGTGGAGTTAGGCAGGGGAGATAAAACATATAGGCAATGCTTTCAAGGAGATTTTGAGAGCAAGGAGGGATGTTTTTGTGTTTGTTTTGATTTAAGAGCACAGTAATGGAGTGAGTAGGTGACATTAGGACATAGAGTGGATGATTCATAGGGTCAGCTTGCCATGGAGATGAGAGGAAATGGGGCCTGGAACATAGATTGGGCAAGCAGAAGGCACTTCTTTGATTATAATTGAGGGAAAGAGGAGAGAATGGTGCTGGTGGAAGCATCTTCTGTGTACAACTGTTTCTATCTTCTTTATGAAGTAGGCATCATGATCATCTGCTAAGAATGAGGTTGTAAGGTAGGAGGTGTGGACAGAGTGGTAAAGGTTAGAAATGGCAGTTTTAGAGAATGAAAGAGAGAGTTGAGGGATAAAATTTAGCAGTGGGCGGGCGCGGTGGCTCATGCCTGTAATTCCAGCACTTTGGGAGGCTGAGAGGGATCAGGAGGTCAGGGGTTCGAGACCAGCCTGACCAACATGGTGAAACCCATCTCTGTTAAAAATACAAAATACAAAAATTTGTTGGGTGTGGTGGCCCTCTCCTGCAGTCCCAGCTACTCATGAGGCTGAGGCAGGAGAATTGCTTGAACTTGGGAGGCAGAGGTTGCAGTGAGCTGAGATTGCGCCACTGCACTCCAGCCTGGCAACCAGACAAGACTTCATCTCAAAAAACAAACAAACAAAAAAACAAAAATAAATTTAGCATTACTTGGTGGCAGTTGGAGACCAAGCACTGATAATCATGCCACTTGGTTTGGTTATGTGATTATGTGATTCTTTTCACTTAGGCCCAGATGTCTGAGTGAAGAAGTGGAAGCAGGCAGACCTTTTGAGTCAAGCAGGATTGGGGTAGTGTGATTAGAGAGCTGAAGATACTGGTTAGGGAATTGTTGAAGGAATGGTTCATGTAGTACAGGCTGGAGAGAGGAAAGTTCCAGAGTGGCTTGTGGACTGATTTAATTTATAGAGAGCTTCTAAGCGAAATTTAAGCCACTTCTATAGTTCTACCAGATAATACTTAATTCCAGAGTCTTGACTCAAGTTTACATATTTAAAAAGGGGAAAGAAGCCTATTGTTTGCATATGTGGATAAAAAGAACAATACAGACTTGGCAAATAGCTTCTCTACCTAACCCCCTATCCCTGATATTGAGGTAGAAAACTGCAGCCACCTTAGAAGGATAGGGCTGTTGAAAACTTTCCGGATTCCGAGTCTTCATTTTCAGTCATTTGGCTTATTCTTGAGGGGAGGTTAAAAAGTGTTGAGTTAGGTGTCAAACTGTCATCCAAATAGGCCAGGGGCTTCCTGCAGCAGCCACAGCTGTGGATGAAGAGCTATCCTTCCTCTTATACAGCTCCTATAACTTGTATCTGTCCCTGTCTATCAAAATAAGAGAATTCCCAGCTCTTCTCCTTCCCTAAGGCAATTACATCAGAAGTGGGAGATACTTAGCTCTCTTTGACTCGCCTATTTTATCTGACTTATGTATAATTCGGTAACACTAGCAATAAAAACTTTCTCTAGCTGTGTTATGTTGACCAGTATGAACTAATCCACTGTACACTGAACCCTAGGTATTGTATTAGAGTGGAAGATAAAATAATATTATGCAGGAGATTTTATGGCCAGTTGAAGAAGTGGATTGGTATGCAGAAATAGATAGGAGAGATCAATCAACAGAGAAAGGCTTAGGAGAGAGTGTGGCTGAGATGAAGAAAAACAGAGAGGCCTCTCGGTGCCTTCTGAGTCATGTGAGCTGGAGGTTGGGAACTCTGGTTATTTCCTTGCTGGTTGCAAAAGCAGTTGTCCTCATAGTCAGTACTGCTGACTTGAAATTCCTTGACGTTTTAGGCATTCTGTAGCAAGCCTGGTTTTTTGTGAACAGGAAAGTATTTTTATTGCCATTTTCTATGTAAGAGCTTATTTTCTATGTAAGAGCTTTTTTGTTTTTTATTTGTTTTGAATGGCTTTGAGTGGTTTTGCTTGTGTGTGAAGAAAGGGATTAGATTTTGGAAGTTACTTGAAAATGTCAAGAAGCTGGTTATTTTGATCAATCTGATTGTTATTTAGCAAGTACACTTTGCATTAGTATTGAGAGATTGGAGTTATTTAACTTCCTCTACCAATGTCTGAAAGTTGATTGAAATTGTTTCTAGATTTCAGCGACCATCACTTTTATCTTAGTGGGGTAATATAGGAATGCCAAGAAATTACCTTTAAAAGCTTTGTGTAAATGAAATATCAATCACATATTTATCTTTATTTGTAAAAATTTATTATTTTAGAATGCATTGTCAGATAGTAGACATTTTATGTTTTGCAGGCCAAGAGGCAAATTTGAGGGTATTAAGAAGGCATTATGGCATATTATGTAGGAATAACAACAGAGAAAATGAATTTCCACAAATGTTTCATTGATTATTATTTGAAGTTCAAATAATAATCATTGAATACAAATTTTTTGTTAGACAGCTTTACTATTGAGAATTAAAAAAAATTTTTGAAAGATAACATTTCACTTAGTTGGAGTTCAGAATTAGTGTTCTCTATCTATCTCAAAATCTATTTAAAATGTTTATCTGCTAATGTTGATCTGTAATGAGGTTTTATGTATTTCATCCTTGAAAATGTCTTTTCACATAGATACTGTCAAAAACTGGTATCAGTCTATGTGTGTGAAATTTAAATTTAGCATATTCGTTCCTTAGAAGGTATTTCTAGAATTCTATTAGATTTTTTTCTTGCCGTTTGCCTTTAAGCATGTGTTACTTGGTAGATTCGTTACTTCCAACTGAAGGTTGATGGAAGCTTCTTAATTGCATAGTTAAATGGATTTTGAAATATGGAAATTTCCTTTGCATTACATTGAGACCTAACAAACACTCTGGAATTGTAGTTTGAGGCTGGAAAATATATCCACTGCCACTTTGTGTGGAAACAGAGATCTAATATCTTGTTCTAGTTTTGACAGCACTGGAAGTGTATAAAGCAGCTTTATATTACTTGTGATTCAAACAACAGGAGTTGTTGTGGAAGTGAGTTTACTGCAGTGTAAGTTTTACATATGAGTGATGTTTTGCCTTATAGTTTTAGAATGAATTAAGAAACATTGTCAGGTCTGCAGCCAAAGCTAATTTCCAAAGCCATTTAATGTTTGATAATGGTGATTGAGGGTATTTCTTCTCATTAAGAAGAATTTAAATCTTGTATACCAATAATAACTTATTCAAAAAAGAAACCAAGAAAACAATCTTATCTATATAGCTTCAAAAAGAATAATATACTGAGGAATAAATTTAACCAAGGAGGTGAAAGATCTGTATGCTGAAAACTGTAAAACACTAATGCAAAAAATTGAGGAAGACACAAATAAATGGAAAGGTATCTTGTGTTCATATACCAGGAGAGTTAGAGTTAGAATTGTTAAAATGTCTATATTACCTAAAGTAATCTGCAGATTCATCTCAGTCCCTATCAAAATTCCAATGACATTCTTCACAGAAATAGAAAAACCCAATTCTAAAATGTGTATGGAAGTACAAAAGACCCTGAAGAGCTAAAGCACTCCTAAGAAAGAAAAACGAAGTTGGAAGTATCAAATTACTTGACCCAAAATTATATTACAAAGCCATAGTAATTTCAACAGTATGGTATTGGCATAAAAACAGACACATAGACCAGTGGAACAGAATAGAGAACCTGGGAATAAGCCTAAGTATATACAGTCAACTAATTTTTGACAACCCCTGCAAGAAAACACAAAGGGAAAAGGATAGTCTCTTCAATAAATGGTGTTGGGACAACCAGATATCCACATGTGAAAGAGTGAAACTGGATCCTTGTCTTCCACCACACACAAAAATCAGTTCAAAATAGATTAAAGACCTGAATGTAAGACCTGAAACCATACAACTTCCGGAATAAAACATGGTGTGGAAAAAGCTCCTTGACATTGGTCTTGGCAATGATTTTTTAGATATGACACCAAAAGCACAGGCAATAAAAGCAAACCTAAACAAATGGGACTAGATCAAACTAAAATGTTCCTGCACAGCAAACAATCAGCAAAACAAAAAGACAGCCTATGGATTGAGAGAAAATATTTGTGAACCATATATCTGATAAGGAGTTAATCTCCAAAAAAATATAAGGAATGCAAACTCAATAGGAAAAAAAAAAAAAAGAAAGTAACCCAGTTAAAAAAACGAGCAAAGGACCTGAATAGA